AAAGAGTGTTCATATTCTCCATACAGCACTTAGATTCCCATTCTTTATAAAAACAAAATGTAAATTAAAATAATATGAAGACCATGCAAAAAGTTCCCACATATACAAGTCTTCAATTAAAAATAAACAAAACATTTAAAGAGTATCAGCATCTATTTGAATTTGCAGAATGTTGTAATGTTAAGGAAGAAAATGTTAACGAGGGATACCAAGACAAGAGTCTTGCTGTTCTCCAGACTTCAGATCGCCTCCAAATCAGGATCAGGGTTTACAATTTTCCACTACTATATTGGTAATAAAGGGGTCTTAAACTGAGATTATTCATCAAATCCCTGAAAAACATAATGGTACAAGAGGTTTCCATAGTAAAAATTATTTAAGATCTTAAACATTGCCAAGAAGACTCAGGCACAATCAAAAAAGAATATCTTTCGTATTTTAAGATTACAAAAAATGGAATATGAAAAAGTCTCGATAGTTATGCTCATCTGTAGGTTGTATCTAAGGTCTTACATTAGAAGCTTATGCATTTAAAATGCTAGCTGGAAAGACATCGAATGTGTTATAGAAACACTCCTTAAAAAAAAAAAAAAAAAAAATCCAAAACCTCATAGATGCTATTAAACACCTGCAGTGATTCTGAGCAACTTAACTCCACCCTTAATTTTGACCTTGGGAGAACATAATTAAAAAGTGACTGTTTTCCAGGAGCAAACAAAAAAAATTAAATTAGTCTATATGGTCCTATAAGCATTTGTGACACTGAATTACATTGGTTTACTTTGTAGATGTTTATAGAGCCAGCCTATGTTGTTTGACTTTTGAGGGAAGACTAATAGGTGTAGTAAGGGGGTGGGGGGAGCACAAAAAACCTTATGGTTAAGCCAAAACAGGGGTCATGCCTAGGGCATTTTATCTGCCCTGCTTACACACCCCCGGGGAATTGCATCTCAACAGTTGATTCCCTGTTAATCAATTCACATTAGTGCCTGCCTTTTAGTTTTCACTTTGCTGAATTCCAGGAAAGAAGTTCTTAAACCAAATGCATGCTCTGTCACTGACCTAGTCAGAGCTGTCGCATTTCAAGAAGAAATCACAGCAGATTTTATTTGCTCTACCAGCTCGTAAGAGACACCTTAGTAAGTAAAGATTCATAGCCAGCAGACTCAACACAGAACAAGATCCAGTGGTCAGCAGTAATATGGGAGCAGAGGACCTTCATGGCATTTTTTTTTCCCCCCTCAACCTATTTTCTCTAGCTACAGGAAAAGACTCATGTTACACATTATTCTTTTGCTTCCCTTTACTTTCTTATTTACTATGGCTCAAGATTGTGTGCTTGCTAAGGAGACCTGTAGCACTTGCTATCGCTCCATAGTGTTTTCAGTGAGTGTGTATGTTTTTGCACTCCTCTTGCCACTTACAGGCTAAAACTTAAAACAATTTACTATTCACAAGTGGGAACCACATTGGGGGTAGGAGGCAGAGGAAAGTTACGAGCATAGAAATAGCAAAAAACTCATTCACAAAACTAGATCTGACTTTACATCCAGACCCATTGGTTAAGCTACTCTCTAGCATACACGCAGATCTTCATACAGCAGATCATAAAAAATAAACTTTATTATCAAACTTAAAATTCACACATTAAACATAAGATCTAGACACAAATAATACTGAAAACATCCTCAAACAATAACGATTTTAGGTAATTCGGAGGAGCAGCTAGTTATCAGTTTCAAACGTCTTTAAGAATAATTCTTAATACACACACCATGGTCAAATGTCTTCAAATGTTTAGCTGGCCAGCTTTCAGTAAGATTTTTAAATAGGGGAAGACTTATTTCTATAGAAATAACATTATCTAATTATGAATCAGAGACCCATAATTGTAGTGCTTGGGGAAAAAAATATCATAGCCTTTTGAAATATTTAGGAGACATAAATAACTATTGTACATTTACAAGTTTAAATATTTAAAGGCCTTCATTACTATAAAAAGTTGCTATGTACATTTAGATGCTATACAGAAATCCAGCCGGAGGCAAGCACTGAGCTCTCAGATTTGGCCGCTGAAACCTATGAATTTGGTAGGCAGATTGTCCACAGGGTACACTATGGGGCCTGTTTTCATCGTAGGAGGTCCATTCAGCAGCTGCCAGTCGCAGCTCCGAGCCAACTCCACTGTAAATATTTTTAGAAGGACTTTTGCAAACTCTTTGCCCACGCAGCTCCTCAAGCCCCCACCGAAAGGAATGAAACTGAACCTAGAAGAATCCTCTGGAGATGGAGACATGAAGCGATCCGGGTTAAATTCATCCTTGTTGGTAAAGAGGTCTGCCACATCATGGGTATCACAGATACTGTAAATAACATTCCAACCTTTAGGGATCTGGTAACCCTATCAAAAGAAGAGAAAGGAGACATGAAGCGCTTTGCTCTGTTAAATAAGGCGAAGCGTCAGCATGGGACATGTCGGTGCACCCCACCTCCCCTCCTGGCTTCCTGCAGGTCACTAAGGTGGATGGGCTACGTGAACGCACTAGTACTTTGCAGCTGCGCTGAGGAGTCGAGCCCAAGCCCCGCTTACATTTAGCTCAAGGGTCTTGAGCGCGATTCGAAATCCTCCAGGAACAGGAGGGCTCAGCCTGAGGGTCTCTTTGATGACACAGCCCGTGTACTTCAGCTGCTCCAAGACCTCCATGTCCAGCTGCTTCTCTTGGTTGGGACTGCACAGTAACCCCTAGAAAGGAAGATGCTGCCATGACTTTTATGGAGCAGGTGGCCAGGGCTCCTGGCACTGCAAAGCAGCTGCCCCTCAGCGAGTGGCGTTTTCCTGCCAGCCCCTAAAAGAAGGGCACCACCTGGGTCGAGGGGAGCCCTGTCTGGGACACCTCTCCTGGAGATACCTTCCCACTGCCCGCTCCTGTGAAATGGCTCCAGGGGAGACACACACCTTCACCTGCAGCTCTTTCCTCACTTTCTGCAGGACATCATGGTGCAGCCCTAGGAAGGCGATCAGCGATGTGGCAGCACTAGCAGTCGTTTCATGGCCCCCAAACAGCAGCTCTGTGGCAGACTCCTTCAGCTCCTTATGCAGAGGACAGAGGAACACAAAATAGGTTTCAAATACATTATCTCCACCAGGCCCACTCCACCACCACATCACTGTGCATCACTCCCAGGCTGGAGCAGACACCCAGGGCCCAGGATGGGGGTGCTGCTTATGCTCCCTGGAGACATGGCCCTGGTCCCGCGCTCCCCATCAACAGCCTGGTCGCAGCCTCTGCACCCCAGTGCAGTACACGAGCTGGTCTATTGCATGGGGAGAGGGGGCCGAGCCTCCTGCTCTCTCCTTCTGGCCCCACAAGATAAGCATGCTGCTGACAGAGGGGCTGGGGGAAAGGGACGGATCTGGCCCTGGGGAACCCCACCTGCATGTTGAGCTGCTCCCCGTTGCCCTGCGTGTGCTCCATCAGCAGCTGCAGTGCATCCTTGTAGCCGCCCTCAGGCTCCTTGCGGGCCATCTTGGCGCGGATGTTCTCCTCAATCTTGGCGTGGATGATGTTGCGCGCCCGCAAGCCCTGGCCAGGCGGCAGGGAGAGCAAGTGGGATTTCGGCCAATACTGCTGTCCCTCCCATCCATTCCCCGCTCCCCTGG